AGATGATCCTTTTGGCTTGTTAGGACTGCTGCTCCTTGATCTTCCTTCTCCAGGTACTTGCACTTAATTGCAGAATGCACAGGTCAACTAGTTCACTTAAAGTCTTTAACTTTTTGATTAAGAGCCACAGCTTATAGCAACTTAATAGGGAAAATAAACTGGCTTTTTTCAGGCTCAAGGTGTTTTTACTACAGAAAAAACAGTTCCATTTTGGAGGTCTGGCCTCTGACCAAACATTCACACCCAAGCTATTGGGAACCAATCACATAGCTGTTGGCAGGCGGAAGGCCTTTGGTCAGTGGAATGGTGACCCAGTTGTTGAGACAATCAGCTACTTGTTGCTTGCAGAATCTCTTGTCTTACACGCTGACTGGCTCCGGCTCATCTGCAGTAAACTTCTCAGTTGTTTGAACAAGCAGCATTATAAACAGCTTTTACAATGATTACCAGGTAACTTGGTTTTAAAAAAAAATTCAGGAACCCTTTCATCCCCAATGGACTACAGTCTACATTTAAGCCTTCCCAATTTGGCCCCAACCGCGACGACTGCTACATTCTCAACGTTGATATCCTACAGAAATGTTTCTCCGTGCGACTCCTGAAATACACGCTCGCTGCAATGCGCCGGCATCTCCAAATACTACAATTAAGCCTGCCCCAGCTCAGAGCCTCCCACTCCCAGACCTGCAAAGGACCTCTCCTGTAAAAATCCACTTCACTAACACCTTCCACCCCAACCTTAAGTTCACCTGGACCATCTCTGATACCTCTCTCTCCTTCCTGGACCTCTGTCTCTATCTCTGGTATCCACCTGGAAGCCGATATCCATTTCAAGCCTACCAACTCCCATAGCTACCTAGAATACACCTCCCCTCACCCATCTTCCTGCAAAAAGGCCATCCCCTATTCCCAATTCCTTTGCCTCCGCCACATCTGCTCCCGAGATGAGGCATTCCACTCCCGGACATCCCAGATGTCTTCGTTTTTCAAGGACCGCAACTTCCCCTCCACAGTGATCGAAAATGCCCTCGACCGTGTCTCTCGCATTTCCCGCAACTCATCCCTCACACCCCCTACCCGCAATAACAACCAAAACAGAATCCCCCTCATCCTCACGTACCACCCCACCAACCTCCAAATCCAACGCATCATCCTCCGACACTTGTGCCATCTGCAGTCTGAACCCACTACCAAAGACATTTTCCCCTCCCCACCCTTATCTGCTTTCCAGAGGGACCACTCTCTCCGTGACTCCCTTGTCCACTCCACACTCCCCTCCAGCCCCACCACCCCGGCACTTTTCCCTGCAA